GACTGCTGGGCCGCAGCGAACCTGGTAGGAGCGGGGGGTAGAGGGTCACGGGAGCAGAGAAACACACAAAACAACTGGTTGCCAAGGTTGAGCAACACTGGTATAGAGCATTTAAGTAAGACATTTCAAGTGCTTTAAGGGCTCCAGTTTTCCCCTTATATTTTCATTAACTGCCAGCATTCTCAGTATATTCTGGGCATAAAGGCCTCTAAACCAGAACTGTACCTAAGCATTTAAGAGCATGCACTAAAGTAGAATGCCATCAGCTTCAAAAAGCTTTAAAATGTTAATAAATGGAAAATAAAGCTACAATCAATACACAGCAATAAACAATGCTGTAAAACAAAGGGAGGCAGTTTGTGGCTCCTAAGTTCTCTTTTTGTAGCCTTTAGACCCTCTGATGATGATTTCTGAAAACCAATAGCCGCTCCCTACCATTCTGAGGTAGGAGATATGTGAAAATTGCCTGTAATCCCTAACACAGGCATAGCAAAAAAAAACAACAAAGAAATTCCCCCCAATTCTCTGCAAAGGTTCAGCCCCACCTACATATGGGTGATGTGGTCCCACCTAATTTGCAGCCCTCATAATGTTAATTCTGATTCTTGTCTATCAATTTGTTGCCCACACCCTACTATAAAAAGGACATGATATGATAGCATATGGCTCTTCCTTCAAGCTCTAAATGTTTGCCAAAAAAACCACACCTGCAGAAGCTGTAGGCTCCTACAATTCAATTAGCATAAGATTCACAGGATGAAGAATTATGTGCCTGTTTCAAAGGAGATCAGTTACACTTGTAAAGTGAATGGCAGACCTCAAAAGGGTGCATAATTTTTCATGGACTGAAGGCCACATGTGATTGTCGGCTGGCATGCCAGGGCCCCTACACCAAAAAATAGAGTGGGGCCAAGAAAAAAATTATTTGATAATATTTAAGTATTTCATGGTATTTAAAATATAATTAAAGTCTCTGGCAGCGCATATGACCCTATGTCCTTACTCCATGTGTCTTTGTTTCAAGAAAAGGTACAACATACTATTAAGGTTTATTTTCCCCCAGAGGCAAACATCCAAGTCTGTAGAATAGCAAAAGAATGGTAACGATGAACTTAGCAATGACTTTTCTTTTTCTTTATTCTAGAGACAGACAAGTCACAGACAGGATGAATTTGATCACACCTTTGGACAGGAGACAAATGATTCTATGCAGCTGGGGATAAGACAAACTCATACTGTGGTTGTGATAATGCTTGAGCAGATGTTATAAGGTACTCTTTCTTCAGTGGTACTGAACTATCATTCCCATCATTCCAGTATTGGTTAGAAAGGATGGGTATTCAGTTGGGGAAGTCTGTTATAATATGAAATATCAAGAAAACTTTGGCCTTGAATTTTCAAAAACTTAGCGATACAGATTGGATGGATTTATGGAGCCAGCTAGTATTGTGAAGAGATTATAAATGTTCTACACCATTTCCCCCCCAGTCTGAAACAATTTCACAGGACAGAGTTAAACCATTTACTGTTAAAATCTTGTCTCCCTCCTGAAGGCGGCCATCAAGTGCAGCAGCTCCATTTTCTTTGATCCGGCTAACGTAGATGCCAGTGTCATTGGAGATATACTGCTGGTCAGTCCCACCAACTATATTAAATCCCAAGCCTAAGAAAAAGATTAAAAGAACAAGTTTCACTCCCCACCCCAAAACTAGCAAGAAAGAAAAAAAAAAACCTCAGAACAATGAAAACTATTCCCTTCTACCCTAATAAAGCTCCATGAACCAAAATAAACAGTAATTGGCAACCATGCATATTTTGTTTTTATTTTAAATGCTAGGAATAACTGTATGGTAATTTTCATTAGCAATAGTGTATAGTCTGGCTGGCAGCACTCAGCTGACCCTGGGTGATCCTGAAGGCTAAGTTTGGTTGGACCCTGTTAGTATTCAGCTGTAGGCTACATTGGGAAGTTTTTTAAAAATTCCAAAATCACTTCTATAATGTTGTCCAAAATACAACATTGACTTTCTACAGAACAATCTGGAGTCAACTCAAGGGTGTCTTTACTTTACTTGTATCTTTACTTCATAGATTTAAGGAATGCCAACTCCAATCAACTCTGGACACTTTATATAATAAAAAGTCAGAACAATAAAATAGATGATATGCATCAAGAAAAAAACATATGAAACAGCGTATAAAAATCTTACAAGGGCTCACTCAACACCGTGCCCCAGGGCCTGGGAAAGGAGGCAGGTTTTCAGCGCCTTTCAAACCATCATCAGGGTGGGAGTCATACAGTCCTCTGGGGGGAAACTGTTCCAGAGGACAGGGGCTGCGACAGAGAAGGCCCGATAGGTGACATTGCTTATTTGAGGGACCCAAAGTGCACCCCACTCCACCAAATCTTGCTGGATGAACAGTAACTATTGTCTTTCACGGAACAAGGCCTTCTTTTTTATTTCCTTGCTATCATGGAGAAGGATCAATTATTGTGCAGCTCCATAGTTTGCATTAAGAAAAAACACTCTAGTTTTTTTGTTTTTGTTTTTTAATTCTAACTGTTGGGGAAGAGGGTTTTTTATCAGGATCTCAGCTGTGGAGTGAAGAAATAAGAGTCATCTCCCCACTTACCTCAGTTCTGATGCAAATCCCGACTTCTGCTGCTGATAGGATATTCAGGAACTATTTATATTTAGATCCTAGAGGAAGACTACTTATAGTAAGCCACATACTTATTTTGAAGTGATGCAGATCAATAGTTATGTAATTGTTCATATCAGCATCAAAACTGTTCTATTTGAATCATTCCATTCTCTATCAGAACAGCTGCAACAATTTCCCCCAAACTATTTGGAGTTCATTAACAAATCTTGGTTAAAAGAAGCCATGTTTTCCACACAATTTATGAATTAACTTTTTGAGTCTAACACACCAAAGTAGGAGAGGGGAGGGGAGGGGAGGGGAGGGGAGGAATGGAATGGAATGGAGGAGGATATTGACAAACTGGAGCGTGTCCAAGGGGAAGCAACCAAGAAAAGAGGCCTATAAGAAAAAATGTACTGGGAACACCTGGAGGCACTGGGTAGGTTTAGTCTGGAAGAGAAGACTGTGGGGAAGCATGATAGGTGTTGTGGATTTGTATGTAGGGCAGGGATTTGGACTCAGGGAATGTTGTGATCCCTTCCAACACTTATATTAGATAACCTAATAAATGAAGAAATAAAACACAGGTCTTGGTCTCATTTTGGAAACTCTTAACCTTTGCAGAAAGTTCTGAAATGCAACAGTATAGCAAACGCACTGGACAGAACGAAACCGCAAGTTCATTTCTTAATATCTCCAAGTTAGATTAGGAAAACCTTCTTGTCTGAAACCCTGCAGGAATACTGCCAGTTACTACCAATACTAAGCTAAATGAAACAACCATCTTACTGGATTTAGTTCACATATTTAATATGATACAAATTGTGTGCCATTTATTTGTTGTTAATTGCATTGGATTTAACCTTTTAACCTTAATACTCAAAGTAATAAAATGGCTATAAAAATATAAAACATTGGAAAAAATGTTTTTTACCTAATGAAGGAAAAAATACTATGGTTACACATAATTTTTGGTTTCGTTTGGTTTTAATACTTGTGGTTTTAATATTTTTTATTGTACATAGATATTGTGAACTGCCCAGAGTTTGGTATGGGCGGCTATACAAATGTTTTAAATAAATAAATAGATCTCTAAGGGCAATATATATACAAGGTATAGATGACAAAGAATGCAACAATGATGTACTTCCAACAACTTCGTGAAGAATGAAAGGGGAATTTGAAATGGGGGAAGTTATTCAGTTTATCTGTTCCAGGTAAAAACTGTTAAGTGACTTTATATGATTGGAAGTAAAAAAAAAAAAAAAAGTCTAGCCATTTTTGCCTACTATACAGCTATAAAAATGTTTGTTTAAAAGGATCAATATCCTATAGTAGTGGGAAGAATATGATTAACAGAATTCAACATAAGGTTGAATTCAGCAGGGGGTAAATCCCATTACTGCAATCCCAGAATAAATATTCACTTTTTTAAGACTGCAACACATCAGGTTTTCTTTCTACTGGTCACAATGAACCAAAATTTACATTGTTTCATATATTTAATCTAACAAATGCTTTAGATTAATCTGGGGCAAGACTATCAAATGTCATACTCTCTTTGAGATGAGATATACAATGGTCACCCACCTCTGTTTCTCTTCCTCACAACTCCACTGTTTTATTAACTTAGTGTACTAAACATATTCTAGCCATAATATGCCACCAATATTTGTCAGGTCATTTTCTACAAAATGACCAAAACAAAATTCAACAAATATAACCTCCTACTAACACAAATTGAATTAATAGAGAATAAGATAATAATAAAAGCACGGGCATGCAGGCATTCGTTTAGACACTATATTTATTTCTGGTTGTAGCTGACTAGTTGTCCAGGTTCTAGCACAATGTTTGATATTTCCACTAGGTGTCACTAATGTCCAGTACAGCCTTTCATTTACCTATATTTTTAAACTCTGGCTTGCTCTTTAAGATTTTGTTGTTCCTTATTGAGGGGTTATCTTTAAAAAAAATAATTCATGAATTTTACTAGAGTTAGTGGGCTGTTGATTTGAAACTTACTCTATTAATAGAAGAGATTATATGTAGCTCAGGGTGAACTGTGGAGTCCTTGGGGTTCTCTGAGCTTGGTTGTTTTCTTGTAAACGTTTCATTATCCGGCTAGGTAACATCTTCAGTGCTAGCCAAGCACTGAAGATGTTACCTAGCTAGATAATGAAATGTTTGCAAGAAAACAATCAAGCTCAGAGAACCTCAAGGACTCCACTTATTCTTAGCAATTTTGGAAATGCATGGATTGAAATGTGGAGTATAAATATATTTAACATACATTAAACAAACATTGACAGCTCATAGTTTATTCAAGAGTAAATGAGCTGAATTATCCAGACTGTATACTAAGAAGCCAGCAAAAATACAAAATTAAAAAGTAACTCAATGACCCAAAGTTGGGTTTCTGTTGCACACTTTTGAGCCAAGATTAGTAAATTAATTTTTTTTTTTAAAAAATTGCCTTTTTAAATCAGAGAACATAATCCCAAGATTGCATTTTTTTTCTTTCTTCCCTTGGCAGATCACTCCTCTAACAAATAATCAAGAACAATCCATTTGGGACACAGACCAGTCCTCTAGGCAGCACAGCAGTAATGAGATCTCAGGGAGAATTTAATCTCGTCTTCAAAATGTGTGAATACTTGTAATACCAAACTTTTTACTGTAAGCAGTAAACAAGAGTACCAAGCCTTGGCTACCAGACACAAGCTCTTTTAACATCCACACATCTGACTGGATTAGGCTCTGCATATTCACTTTATCTCAAACCTCTGTACAGAGAGAAAATAAGTAGCTTTCCAAAATTATGGGTTAAAGACAAATTCATCACCTTTTTTCCTCCAATAAACTTAGAATAGGGCAGATAGGAGTCATCTCCTTTTTCATGAGAATCATCCATAATCATCCATAACTTGGGGGGGGGGGTTGGGCAGAATATAAATTTAATAAATAAATAAAAATAAATAAGAAGGAAGGAGAAAATTACTCTGAGGAATACTTAAAGAGCTGTGAGGCTGAGTTGAGCCCAGGAACAATTGCAGGATGCTGTCCTGTAAACCAGTGTTTCTCAACCTTAGCAACTTTAAGACTGGCTGGCTGGGGAATTCTGGGAGTTGAAGTCCACTCATCTTAAAGATGCTAAGGTTGAGAAACACTGCTGCAAACTGTTTGCACCCCAGGCTGATCGGAGCTTCTGAGAGCCATAATTCTGCAACATCTGGAAGACCACCAGTTGTTCTGCTTTCAACCCGTCTGGCTTGACTCTTGTTCTAATCTCCAGCGTGAAGATCAGGCACAGCCTTCGCGATCAGACAGGATTCTCTCGCGCGCCCTTGCTGCACAACCAGCATCTCCCAGCCCCCCATTTCCTTTTACGGCGCAACCTGCGCGCCTCCAGGCGTCCCAGCGAGTTCCGCATAAGCGCTGCAGCCTCAGCGCAGCATCCGCTACGCTTCAAATGCCCTACATTTTCGCGTCAACTTTCACGGGGAGCGGGAAAGAAGCCTCAAACGGAGTCCGCTTTCGAAGGAAACCGGTTTCCTTCCGAACCGTTCTTTGAGGAGTAAAGCCTTTAAAGGCAATCCTGCGGTGCCGCGCTAGAGGGGCTGCCTTTCCTGCGCCGAGGATCGCGGAAAGCCAAAGGGCCTTTGCGGCTCCTTCAGCAGCAGAAGGGCCAAAGGGCGCTGCTCCTAAGCGGCAGGGCTTCCCCGGGCTTCTCCCTCGCCCTTCGCGGGTTTCCTTTTCCCATTCCTCAGAAGGAGAACTGCTGCAGGACCCAGCCGGGCGCTTCCCTGCTGCAG